GAGCACAGAATGGACACAACCAAGGCAAACCCTTTTGAAAAGAATGGGAAGCACCTGGGAAAATTGACACGGCAACCCCAAAAGTATGAAACTACGCTTTTGGGCAGACAACGCGCTGGATCAAGGCTAACCTACTTGAGAAGAGGCGAAAACAAGGCAAGCCAACTTAAAAGACATGGAAAGCACATAGGAAAACCAACCAGGAAAACCAAAAATACGAAGCAAACCTGCACGTCGCGACCGCGACCACTCGCTTCTCGCTTTCCGTTGGTTTGCAGATGCATTTTCTTACAAGATGTCTGAGGAACACGCTAAGGTGCCTAAATTTGTGACACTCGAACTTGATATTGAGCAGCTACTGCGTTGAAGCCCTCGAATAGGAAAGTGTTGCCTGTTCCCTCTCCGATACGCCAAGGCCAGAAACTGTTCAGGAATCTTGGCCTCTTTGCGCGAGGAGGAGCGCAGCACCTTTCTTCCGGGTTGAAAAGGTCCTAGTAGCTTCTTGTTCCTAGTAGTAAGGCCAGGAGCCCCTAGAAGCGGAAGGAACGTAGACAAACATTCTTGCAAGTTCATAGACAATGTTTGACTTGCAGGCCTGCACCTGTGACGTAGTTTTTTGTGCTGTGTGAGAAGTTCACATTGGAAAGCGCTTAACCTAGCAGACCTGAGATTGCCTATCAGCCGCACAGACTCCGAGTTGCGATACAAAGTGACAAGCTAAAGAATATGGCAAAGATCTGACCATTGTCACCCACGAATTAGCAGCACCGACATTTCAGTAACAGTTCAGAAAGATATATCCTGATGTGCAGCCTAAAAGCACTCTTCGACATCGTTAGCGCCGCTAGCAGAGCAGAGTTTTTGGAACCTGTTTTAAGACTCTTACAACTAAAGCAAGAGAACGTGTCCAGTGTTCTTACCTTTGTCATCCTTTGTCCTCTTTTGTTTTGTATGATTTGTTTCTTTTCTACCCGGTAATGACTACAGCTGTGACGGGATCAACGCTGTTCGAGGACACATACTTGGCCTGTGGAGTCCAAAGTGCCTTGCTCATGACAAACTGGACATGCTGGACATTGATTCTTCGTGCTTCCACGTTTCCCTTTCTGCGTTTGAGTCGGGCTACCGAGATCTAGGTGTTCTCTATCTATTTGTCATGCATGTGCATGCACTCTCAGGAAAGCTTGGATGGCAGGATGCAAGCTTGTTCCAGAGGTCAGCAAATAGAGTCAAGACAGATTCAAGAAACACATTCGGACTTTTGCCGAAGACGTTGGACCTCACGATTCAACATTATCTCTCTCTCTTTCTCTCTTTTTCCTCTATCTCTATTACAGTACATTAAATTGTCCGGCATCTCCGGTCCCTCCCCTAGTAGAGTCCTTGCTCCTGGATCCTGGGTTGGATGGTTTCACCGTTGCTGCTGTTCTTCTGTTTGAGCGGAGGCGAAGATTTATCGGAGGATGATCTTCCAAAGGGGCCGGAATTGTGCGACATGGGAAGCTGCAAAAGCATGGTTACTTGGAATTCACAGCCACAGCCGCCATTCAAGCAATAAGTTAAAGCATGTCAGACTCTATGCATGGGTTAGGAAGAGCTTCGGACAGAGAATGCAAATTTTAAGATGCTGTACGACGCGCAGCAGCAACTAATTGCCCCTGGCTCAGTCACAGATGTCCAAAGTGAACAATTGTTGTTTGTGTTGGTCGATCCAGGTCTGGAGATGTCTCGAGTGCCGAGGCTACCCTTCAAGCGCAATTGCGTGTCCAAGAGATTGATTTGGACAGCATGAAGCAGGTGAATACTTGGCAGGACCTGCTGGGCTCAGGGAGTTGCACTGATGTTGCAGGTGTTGTTTCTCTCATCCCACCTGAGAAGAATGACGTGCATGCAGCTGCAAGCACCTATCACATCACAAGGCAATTCAGTTTGCTGGAAAATATGCCTTCTTCAACGCCGATGCACAGCAAGGTTTGTATCGGTTGCTTGGTCCGAAAGGAGAAGGCCCTGGCGTCCCTGAAAGACCAAGTTCACACACCTTCTGATGATGAGAATAGGCAAGTTCCACCTCTGAGAGATGCTGACATGCACCCAGAGTCAACACCTTGTGGCTCGGGATGATCTTTGCGGGGATGAAATCATAGTGCAAACTTGCTGGGGCTCTGGCTATTGAACTAGTTCGTGAAAGTACTACAGTTAATTGAGAAGCATGTGTGTAGATCAGCCAAACGAAAAGAAATCAGTTCATTCAGTGCACAATGAAGCTAAGCGGAACACAAAATTGTGGAGGGAGCAGGGTCTTCATAGTTTGGGTTGTGCCCATACTTCTGCTTAAACGTTTTTAAGTGCACCAGGCCATTCGGACAAAGCCAAGCAGCGATGCCTTGGCGTTGCTAGACTATGCACTCATCCAGTGGTTGTATGAAACTTGCGATGTGACGCCTAGCCTTTCTGCAAAGAAGCCACTACAGTATATCATATATTACATCAGGTTGCTTCACAAGTGCAGTACATATACAATTATTTCTTTGCAAGACTCGCTGCCACAAGATTCGATAGATGAGATAGGAATAGGTGAGTTGGCCTGAAAAGGCAGGCTACAAGAAATGAGTTCAGGGTGTCAAAGGGTACTTGCTGCTAAGTGCAGCGTGGGATTATACACTCAGCGGTCCAGATGGCGTGGCGGTATTATCTACATAGATGTTTTGAGTTGGTTCATGCATGCAGCTAGGGAGTGTTGGGGACTGCAACTCGGGGTTCAAATCGCATTGCAATGAGGCTGAAACAGTAGAGATTCGTGGACAAAGCTGAGCGAAGCACTGATTAGTAGAGAGTGCTATAGAAAAGTGTAGTCGAGGTGCTACAGAATAGCACAAAGGTTCATAACATACAGATTTCTAAAGAAATGTGCAGACATGGAGATTCCTCCAAGTCCAGATGATAAGCATGGAAAAAGATCAACAAAGAAGTGCTTTCTAGAAACAAAGAATTTGTGGAAAAGTAGAGAACCCGACACACCACATCGCCACAGATGGATGCATCAACCTGACTGTCCACTTTTGATGTATGTTTCATCGATTTTCAGTCGATTCTTCTCTGTGTCATAGCAGTATTGTTCCCCAAACAGTCTACTGTTTGGCCATCCGCTCCTTCTTCAGCACCTTCTCCGGGCCATGTCCAGGTCTGTGTGTTTGCTTCACCGCGCCGTGGGCATTTTCTTCTCCGTCTTGGTCCAGGTCCGTGTGTACTTCTTGGGACCTCTTACCGAGCTTGTCCAGAGTTCTTGGGGTATCTTGGGGTCTGTGTGTCTATCTTTGGCCGCACTGTGCCCTTTCCGCATGCCGCCTTTCGTCTCCACCTTGTCCGGCGCTTGATTGTCCGGGTCTGTGTGTCCATGCTTGGCGGTGCTGCCTGGGCCTCGTCCAGACCTTTGTGGATATCGATCGGCAGCGATGCAGCGTCAGCGCTTCAAATTTGGTATCACCCTGTTCCCGAAACCAGACGTTTCCAGCTTCCATCAACATGATGCAAGGAACTGACTCAAAATAGATCCTGCTGAAACTGTTTTGGGTCTATGCTGATATAATGTACTTAACAACTATTTGGGTGCGGGGGTGGTCGGGCATTCCACCGGCCAATTGTTCAAATGGTGATACAGTGATACTGTTTTCATGTGTTTTCACTGCGTTCTCACCTGCAAGGCGTTTGGAAGATGAAACCAAAGACTCTGAACAGGCCTGTTTTGCAAACTTCAGCTGCATTATTTTCTTCAGCTGCATTCACCACTTCCTCGCAGGTTGAGACCAAATCCTTGGAAAAGCTAAAGTCAAAGCTGGCAAAGATGAGCGCTGAGTCGACTCTCTACCGTGAACAGGCGGGTTGAAGACCGTGAGCGTGCGGCACGTTTCTTTTGTTGCACAGATTCAGCACCCACTGGCATAGACTGCAAAAAGACTGGGGTGGTAGGGTCCCTTGTATGAAAACACCTGTTTGGCCCGCATTCGCTACTTGGGGGGGAGGGTGGGGTGGCAGGGGTGGTTCATGCGCAAACAAACCACAAAAATCCTTGCTGTACTTTGGAGGGATGCTGGTGGGTCAGCAAGTACAGGCAGCTTGGGATTAACACGTCAATGTCTAGCCAACAAAACAAAGCAATTTGTTAACAAATACTTTTCGTTTTACATTTTCCACCACGTTGTACATCTAGATACGTCTAATATATACATCTAGGGTGGGTTGTTAGATGAGGAAGATCGGACATTGAGGGAGCCAACCCCGGTGTGTCAGCTACCCACCTTTTGTTGTTCCTATTGAAGCAGGTCAGTCCCTCTGCAGGTTTCTGGTATGCATTTCAATCACATGGTTCAACTTGGCAGGTACTGAAAATTCATCATATTCACAGTATACTCGCTATTACATAAATAAATTACATAAAGTATCATGAAATATGTGTATATCCACTCCCTGATATCATAGCAAGGGGGTTCAACTACTAGCCCGTCCTTTGATGTCCTTTGCAATAAAGGATTCATGACTGGATATGTGAGATTCTGAGATGACGACACATTAGTTTCCATTACCTCCTAAATGGACATGCTTGATTGCTTAAGCAGCACAATTGCAGGAAATTCACCTAATCACCATTTTTACCAGGTGTGCTTTCGGCTGAGATAGGGTTGAAGCGTTGATAATGCTTGGTAATTCAGCGTAGCAATGCGACCGTCATGCGGCTCAGGCTGACGCACAGGCCATGGCCGCATTGGCGACTTCTGTACGTGCTGGTTGGAAGGTGGGGGTCGGTGGTTGCATCATATTGGTGCAAATGAGAGGGGGCAGCAGTGGATGCACGAATGCATGCGCGATTGATGCACAACACCCTTGTGACAAGGGTCGCATCGGAGTTATGTATATAATTGTATTTATATATATATATATGTATATTGTGAATGTTTGGACTCAAGTGCACCAATCAAAGCAGTCATGCAGTAGAGTTACTCCAGTGATCGCCAACAATGTTGGCTCAAGTGGACATCATCAGGCACAGGAGAAACAGATCATGAAGTGGCTGGGTCACGTGTCTTGGAAGTGGTGGAGGGGTCCCCAATTGGTTGTAGATTCGCATTGGTAGCGGATCAATGGGCCGCTTAGCTCGGATCATGACACTTTGGGAAGTGGCATGGCTTGGTCAATTTTGGATTTGCAGGGCGAACCATTGTAATTGAGTGAGGAAGCGCAAGCAGCGGGGTCCCAAGGGACCTATGGCAATACCACACTGCCATGGAATCAGGTCCCAAGTTTTGAGCCAGGGATCACGGACGTCAAGGTGTATGCTCGCAAACGGTCCTTCCTCAGAGACATTTGTCTTCCTCGTCGGTGGATCCGCCTTCCAGAAGATTGCTCGTTTGGATGCATCCAAACTCAAGCACAAGGATGGAGTGAAGTATTTGGTTGAGGCCCTGGGAGGTCAATGGGGCCAACTAGCCGAAGAGGAGAAGCTCCAACTCTTCGAGCGGGCCATCTTCCAGACATTTCCAGACTACACAGAAGCCAGATGAAACAGGGAGGAGCCCTGACCTATGAGACGGCTCGCAAAGGACTCCGTCTCCTCGGTGCCAAGTTCTTCAATGAGCTTCAACAGAACACCATGGGAAAGAAAATGAAGACCTATGACTGCAACCGCATTGAGGAGGAAGATGAAACCCACCTCACTGAAGACGCAGATGGAATGGAGCTCGATGAGGTGTGTGGTATTCCAGTTCTTCCAGACTTTGCTGGACAATTCTGCAATGACTTCGAGGAGCAGATCGTGCTGACATGCCAGGAATCAGGTGAGCTGGCATCATGCTTCACCACCTACCAAGAAGCCCGGAGCCCACCAGAAGGCGTGGATTCTGGCCCGAGTTCTGGCCCGTTACCGGATCGGGCAAGGACAAAGCTCGTGGAAAAGGGAAATTCAAGATTTGCGAGTCATCAAGAAGAGGAGCCTTGCTGACCGAATCGCCAACTCCACCTGCCGACGATGCCTTCAGCCAGGATATTGGAAGTGGAAGTGTCCAAATCCACCACATCCAAGCTTCCAGAGTAAGACGACCGAACTGATCACCATGGCAGCCGGGGACATGGAGTACACCCCTACTCAGTTAGATGGTGTGGATATTCCTTTTCCAGAAAGCGATGAGGACAACCTATATGTTTTT